ACAAATATATAAAAGTATTTCCAAAAGGCACAGCTCAATGTTAGTGAGAGAGAGGGGGTCGCGCTCTGTAACCGGCGACCATTTTGCATATATTCCAATACATAATTCTATGAATCTTACCGATGAAGTCTGTTTTTAGCTTTATGGCTGATGTGGTAATGGTAATGATCAACTTTTTTTTGATTTACAATTCAAATTAAATTTGAATGTCTGCTGACATTTAGCCACGTCTCTAAATGGATTGTGAATCCACCAACGTTATTATTTTCTAACTATATTTTTAATCTCACGGTTGTTTTTAGAAACGAGCAATCTCTTTCAGTTTTTCACCAACTCATCTTTTTCTGATGCTAACTGAGGACTTACTTACTTACTTGGCCATCGAATTCCGGCCTGATGTAGCATGTCTCTCTGCTACGTGCGCGCTTTCTCCAACCTCATACATCAAGTCCGGTTAGTGCTTTCTCAACTTGATCACTCTTCAGAAAACACGGTCCACATCAACGCCTTCTTTCTCCAACTACTGCCTCAAATACCTTTTCCGCTGGAGCATCTTCATCCATTCTCACGACCTGACCAGACCAGTGAAACACTTGGATGTTAATTCGCTGAATTATATCAATGTCATGCTAAAGCTCGTACAGTGTGTGGTTCATTCCGATGTGGACGTCATCGCCAACTCATAGGGAATCAAAGATCTTACGAAGAATTTTTCTCTCGAACACTCCCAGTGCTGCTTTACTATTCTGTGATAATGTCCATGTTTTTCAACCATATAGAAGCACACTTAGAATGAGCGACCTATAGAGCGTAAGTTTTGTTTGTTCAGAGAAAGCTCAGTACTCCAATTGTCCATAGTAGCACCTATTAACAATGTTGATTCTTCGTCTGATCTCTAGACTGACATCATTTTTATTTGTAACGACAATGCCAAACTAGATGAAATCCTTGATAGATTGGAAAGTGTGATCGCTGGACCACTAGCTCGGCGTGTGAGCGATACATATTTCTATAACAAGTCGACATATGACATATATTTGGTTTCGCTTTCATTCGCCGTTAAGGATATTTTTGCAATTCCTTTTTCTATAACTCCAAAGGCAGTTGTAATCACACACTTGCTATACCCAATGATGTGGATATCGTCGGCGTAAGCAAGGAACTCGCAGAATAGTATAACATTAATGTGGTTTGAACATTCGCTATTATTACTTGGCGTAGATATATATTTGGAGCAGCGCAGACTTTATATTGGAAATTTGGAACAGAAGTTCGAGGACAGCGTCAAATATGATCTGCAATAATCATTCAATTTATGAGCCAAATATTGTAACTAAGTCAACACAATTCTTCATTTCGCATTCAAAGAAATCAATCTGGTCAAATGCAAATTCTGCATATTTCGCTATTTAAACGTAACAAAAGTTTAATTATACCATTTTAGTTAATTTTTTTGTTTTGGCCAAGTCCATTCCGTGTTCACAGTAGCAATGATCCACGTAACAAGTCACATAAGACAACAATTTTATTTGCCCCCAGCAGTTGCGCATGCGCACATGGCAAAGCACGTAAGTCGAGGTGCTACGTGAGCTGAATTACGCCAAAAATAATGTTAGGAGCAAGCAAAAAATACTTCAAAATTCGTGGTACGTTGCAGCAATTAACAATGCAGTTGGAGTTGGAGTTGCGGTTAATGCTGCCACTGTCAGTCAGTTTGTCTACAAACAATTTGTGGCACTAAAACACAAGGGCAACAACTTTCGCATCTGAAACTCCATAGAACAAGTGTTCAGGTTGTGAGCTTGATTTGTGTTGGAGTTAAGATTTAAGGTAATTGTTCACGATACTTAATTCCACTTGTGCCTCCAGTTGAGGATGTCTAATGTAGGTGGCAACTATTTAACAAAATATTAAGACGCAATAAAATGTTGCACTTACGCCACAAGAACCTGCGGAAAACCAGCCATACAAACTTGCCACCTCCATATGGAGTAGAGGCCTAAGCTGAAACCAAATCCATTTTCTGTATAAGCCAATCTGTTGGCGTGCGCTTATCAACCTGCAGAAATATATTTTTAATTAAAATCACAAATTATTCAGATTTTCGTAAAATTTTTGGCGCGAAAAATTGTTATATTTTTATATTTCTTAATAAACAAAAACAAAAACATAAAAGTTATTAGTTGTAAACAAACTATTAAATCTAGGAACCGTTTCGCAAGTTAAACAACAGCTCGTTTGAAGTATTAATAAAAGTTAATAGGCAATCGTAAACTGGTTCCCCAAGTTCTCTGTAATCCATAGGCAATGAAGCTCAAACCTCGTTTG